TGATAAATAAGTTTCTGTTCACACCATTGATAATATGCTGTTCATAACCATGATAATAGCTTTTCATCAGCCATGTAATGATGCTGTTCACAGCCATGAAAAAATGATGCTGTTCATCAGCCATTGATAATGATGCTGTTCATCAGCCATTGATGAAAAAGCTGTCATCAGCCATTGATGAATGATGCTGTTCATCAGCCATTGATGAATGATGCTGTTCATCAGCCATTGATGAATGATGCGTTCATCAGCCATTGATGAATGATGCTGTTCATCAGCCATTGATGAATGATGCTGTTCATCAGCCATTGATGAATGATGCTGTTCATCAGCCATTGATGAATGATGCTGTTCATCAGCCATTGATGAATGATGCTGTTCATCAGCCATTGATGAATGATGCTGTTCATCAGCCATGATGAATGATGCTGTTCATCAGCCATTGATGAATGATGCTGTTCATCAGCCATTGATGAATGATGCTGTTCATCAGCCATTGATGAATGATGCTGTTCATACAGCCATGATGAATGATGCTGTTCATCAGCCATTGATGAATGATGCTGTTCATCAGCCATTGATGAATGATGCTGTTCATCAGCCACTGAATAATGGTGCTGGTCATCAGCCACTGAATAATGATGCTGGTCATCAGCCACTGAATAATGATGCTGGTCATCAGCCACTGAATAATGATGCTGGTCATCAGCCACTGAATAATGGTGCTGGTCATCAGCCACTGAATAATGATGCTGGTCATCAGCCACTGAATAATGATGCTGGTCATCAGCCACTGAAGAATGGTGCTGGTCATCAGCCACTAAAGAATGGTGCTGGTCATCAGCCACTAAAGAATGGTGCTGGTCATCAGCCACTGAATAATGGTGCTGGTCATCAGCCACTGAATAATGGTGCTGGTCATCAGCCACTGAAGAATGGTGCTGGTCATCAGCCACTAAAGAATGGTGCTGGTCATCAGCCACTGAATAATGGTGCTGGTCATCAGCCACTGAATAATGGTGCTGGTCATCAGCCACTGAAGAATGGTGCTGGTATCAGCCACTGAATAATGGTTGCTGGTCATCAGCCACTGAAGAATGGTGCTGGTCATCAGCCACTGAAGAATGTTGCTGGTCATCAGCCACTGAAGAATGTTGCTGGTCATCAGCCACTGAAGAATGTTGCTGGTCATCAGCCACTGAATAATGTTGCTGGTCATCAGCCACTGAATAATGTTGCTGGTCATCAGCCACTGAATAATGTTGCTGGTCATCAGCCACTGAATAATGTTGCTGGTCATCAGCCACTGAAGAATGTTGCTGGTCATCAGCCACTAAAGAATGGTGCTGGTCATCAGCCACTGAATAATGGTGCTGGTCATCAGCCACTGAAGAATGTTGCTGGTCATCAGCCACTGAAGAATGGTGCTGGTCATCAGCCACTGAATAATGGTGCTGGTCATCAGCCACTGAAGAATGTTGCTGGTCATCAGCCACTGAGAATGGTGCTGGTCATCAGCCACTGAATAATGGTGCTGGTCATCAGCCACTGAAGAATGTTGCTGGTCATCAGCCACTGAAGAATGTGCTGGTCATCAGCCACTGAAGAATGGTGCTGGTCATCAGCCACTGAAGAATGTGCTGGTCATCAGCCACTGAAGAATGGTGCTGGTCATCAGCCACTGAAGAATGGTGCTGGTCATCAGCCACTGAAGAATGGTGCTGGTCATCAGCCACTAAAGAATGGTGCTGGTCATCAGCCACTGAAGAATGATGCTGGTCATCAGCCACTGAATAATGATGCTGTTCATCAGCCACTGAATAATGATGCTGATCATCAGCCACTGAAGAATGATGTAAATACCTATGGCTATGTTAAGATCAGTGATAATCACCTATATTAATGTTTGAGTATCGTGGTGCTATGTCGGCACCTCAGATTTTAGATTAAGTCTTGAATACGAGTGTGTTGACAGGCGGAAGCCATACCTAGTAATGTGCCAGATGTAGTGTCATGTTGGTACTCACCTATTTGTACTCACCTATTTGTACTCACCTATTTGTGGTTGCAGGGGTCGAGTCCTATCTCCTGGCCCCGCCTTTCACCGGTTGCTACTGGGTCCTCTCTCTCCCAGCTCCATGAGCTTTATCATACCTCGTCTTGAAACTATGTATAGTTCCTGCCTCCACTCATCACTTTCTAGGCTATCCAAAGCCTGACAATCTATGACTGTAGAAATACTTCCTAATATCTCTCTGACTCATCTGTGTCTTCAACTTCCAATTGTGACTCTGTTTGTTTCCTGTGTTGATGTTGTTTTTTTGGACACTCTTGTTCATACCCTTGTAATGTTGTGTTTTTATTATATATAAACCTTGTTAGTGGTGTGTTTTTTAAATAAAAAGAAAAATACACTGTAATATACGGTTGTGTTGTGTGTGAGAGTGTATTACCACTGTAATATACGGTGTGTTGTGTGTGAGAGTGTATTACCACTGTATATATACGGTGGTTTGTTGTGTGAGAGTGTATACCGCATGTAATATACGGTGTGTTGTGTGTGAGAGTGTATACCACTGTAATAATACGGTGTGTTGTGTGTGAGTGTAATAGTAATACCACTGTAATATACGGTGTGTTGTGTGTGAGAGTTGTATTACCACTGTAATATACGTGTGTTGTGTGTGAGATGTGTATTACCACTGTAATATACGGTGTGTGTGTGAGAGTGTATTACCACTGTAATATACGGTGTGTTGTGTGAGAGTGTATTACCACTGTAATATACGGTGTGTTGTGTGTGAGAGTGTATTACCACTGTAATATACGGTGTGTTGTGTGTGAGAGTGTATTACCACTGTATTATACGGTGTGTTGTGTGTGAGAGTGTATTACCACTGTAATATACGGTGTGTTGTGTGTGAGAGTGTATTACCACTGTAATATACGGTGTGTTGTGTGTGAGAGTGTATTACCACTGTACTATTTAGTGTCGTTATTATGTATTAGGGTTATTTGGGATTCTTGTGCATTAATTAATTATTCGTGTATCTTTTTAATTATTTCTGTCACCTTGTATCGCATTGTTTAAAATAAAATATATATAAAAAAAAAAATTCTCTGCAAAATATTCACATCACACATTCCCCTCAAATATGATATCTCTGGTGTCTTCAGCCTACTTTCTATAACATGCAAAACAAATGCTTCAGAACCAAACAACAGTATTAGTGACACTATACACTGGTATATTCCCTTTTTCGCCGCTTCAAGTAAAGTTGTCTGTCTCCACAAATGTATCATTGCCCCATCAACCTGTGAGGGAAAAGTTCAACAGATAGGAGTAGCGAGTGAGTATATGGTGACGATAGTTTGATTGCCCGTCTTCTTGTTAAGGTAGGGTCGTTCTAGCTCCGCTATCCCCCATACCTTTTCTACACCTGGAAGGTGACGTGGTGGGCTCCGATCAATGGTAATCACTTGCCTAGAGTTTACCTGGAGAGAGTTCCGGGTGTCAACGCTCCCGCGGCCCGGTCTGTGACCAGGCCTCATGGTGGATCAGAGCCTAATCAACCAGGCTGTTACTGCTGGCTGCATGCAATCCAACGTACGAGCCACAGCCCGGCTGGTCAGGTACCGACTTTAGGTGCTTGTCCAGTGCCAGTTTGAAGACTGCCAGGGTTCTGTTGGTAATCCCCCTTATGTATGCTGGAAGTCAGTTGAACAGTCTCGGGCCCCTGACACTTATTGCATTGTCTTTTAACGTGGTAGTGACACCCCTGCTTTTCATTAGGGGATGTTGCATCGTCTGCCAAGTCTTTTTGCTTTCGTTGTGAGTGATTTTCGTGTCGCAAGTTCGGTACTAGTCCCTCTAGGATTTTCCAGCTGTATATAATCATATATCTCTCCCGCCTGCGTTCCAGGGAGTACAGGTTCAGGAACTTTAAGTGCTCCCAGTAATTGAGGTGTTTTTCTCCGCTATGCGCGCTGTGCAGGTTCTCTGTACATTTTCTAGGTCAGCATTTTCACCTGCTTGAATAAGGTGCGTTAGTGTGCAGCATAATTCCAGCCTAGATAGAACACAAGTAAACTATGAGTGTTCATCATGGGCTGGGCATCCCTAGTTTTGAAGGTTCTCATTATCCATCTGTTCATTTTTTAGCATCTGCGATTTATATAATGTTATGGTCAATTGAAGGTGAGATCCTCGACATGATCATCCCAGGTCTCGGACGTTGGTTTTTCGCTCTATTTTGTGGAAGGAATTTGTTTGTACTCTGATGAAGTTTTAATTTCCTCGTGTTTACCATATCGGAAGTAATTGAAATTTCTCATCGTGAACTTCATATTGTTTCTGCAGCCCATTGAAAGATTTGGTTGATGTCCGCTGGAGCCTTGCGTGTCTCCTGGAGACACTGTCATGCAGAGATTCGGGAGTCTCTCAAAGGAAGACTCGGTGCTGTGGCTGTATCTTGTCTATGTCAGATATGAGGATGAGAACAAGATGGGAGCGAGTACTGTGGCCTTGTGGAACAGAGCTTTCAACCGTAGCGCCCCGACTTTACTCTGTTGACTACTACTCTTTGGGTTCTGTTTGTGAAGGGAAATTATAGATCCATCTACCACTTTTCCTGTTATTTCTTTGCACGCACTTTGTGCAATATTATGCCATGGGCACACTGCCGGAGCTTTTGCTAAGGCTGTATATATTAAATCTGCCCATTCTTTATGTCATTTATCGTGCATCTAGGACCTTGTCGTAGTTTTCCAATTGTTGAGACAGACAGGAGCGACATGCTCTAACAATGTTGCTAGGTGCGTAACTGTTTACGTTTCTTGATGGGGGCGATCTTGCTTCTTAGTACCCTTTCATAGATTTGTGTGATATGGAATGTTAGTGGCTATCGTCTGTGTTCTTTGCTATTGCTTTACTGCCCCCTTTGTGGAGTGGGCTAGTCTCGTTGTTTTAGTTGCTGTGGGACGACCCAGTGTCCATGATCCCTCTCCATAGGATGTAAAAAGATCGTGATAGGGGCTTTCTTGCAGTTCTTGTTGAATACGGAGTTCCATGAGTCTGGCCTGGGGCAGAGTGCATGGGCATGTATTTCTCGCCTGGCTCGAAGGTAATTTGGCGTAGAATAAATCAGTTAGGCTGGGTTAACCAATTTCTGTGGTCTCTCTAAAAATCAATTTTGATCTTCGACTCTCAGTCTGGTTAAGCGGCCTGCCCCTGCTAAAAACTGATCACAGTTCCAACACAATGTAAGTAAAAGCCTCTGCCTCCTGTTTTTAATGGATATATTGGTTAAAACGTCACTTTTAACATTCCAAGATGTAGTTCATGCTGCCTTGATTTCAAGGTATGGCATTTCAATCTTTCACCAGTCCTTTAAATGTTTTACTTAGCATGAGAGTGATTTCTATGCAGTGTGAAACTTTTGGCCTACTTCTAGCTTGAATGTCAGCTGGGGTCATCTGCAACCTAAAGAAATAGTGGATGAAGGAGACGAACGTCACTCGAGTTCTGGGACATCACTTTTTTATCTATTTACCCCTGATAAGTGTAGCCAACCCCAGGCAACTACCTCTCATCTTTGCAGTGGTGAAAGCCTGCGTTCCTTATCGTCTTGACGGATTATTCAAGGCTACAAGATTCTGTTACAATCTATTGTTGGGTTGTCACTCAACTGCTGTGGACCCCTCCCCCTACATAATAATCAATGGCTGACAGTTTCTACAATGTTGCGGTGTAACAACATCAACCAGACACCCAAGTTACTTACATATTAGCGTTGAATTCAGATTCCATTTTCTTATTCATTTTTTTTTAAGTAGGATAAAGGTTATATTAAATGTTTATATTTCAGTCATATAATTATTTTCTATTCATTAATTTCCTGAGGAAGAGCCAGCCTTGGTAAGACCTATTTAGATCTTACGGGGCTGAGAAAGCATTAAAAATTTTGGGCGCCTTTGCCAGGATCAACTAGAATCAAGATTAAATTCCCATCTCGAAATCTAACATTGGAATTTTTTTCAAAACCCGCATACCACAGACGGTTACCACCACCATATAACATTCTCTAGGGTGGGACTCGTACAGGTATTTAAAAAATTTTGGGTAAAGCTATAGTCTCATTTTTGTAAGTCAAGTCGGGCAGGATAAAATAGTTAATTCGTCACCTTTTTTTTTGAGCTTGAAACGATTTGGGGAATAACTCATCGGGAGGCCTGGTCAGGGCCCCGGGGCCCCGGGGGCGTTGATCCCGGAATAACCTCCAGGGAGGGACCCCAGATTTTTTAAATGAAAGTTGTTTCATTGAGCTTATACTATTTATTATATCTTTATTTTTTTGGTGAAAAAGATGGTAAGGACCCCATTCAACTTACTGTTTGGTAAAACCGGCATAGAACCCTCCGTTTTTATTCAAAATATGTTTTAAACGAAGCAGGCCCCCCGATTTATTTGCAGTTTTGGGAGGCGGAATTGAACTCTCGTTTTCTTTTATATATCTGTTACAGTTTTCCCCTGGGAGTTTAAGTTATTCTTGCAAGCATGGGGGAAACCCGTTTTGGATGAACCTGGGAGTAATTAGGTAACGGGGAAAAATTTAGAAGCTTTCATTAGTGCTAAATCCAGGAAAGAATTTTAAAGATAAAGAATTTAGAGAGAAGAGAGAATTGGAAAAAGAAAAGAAGAAGAAAAAAGAGAGAGAACGAGATAGAGGAAAAAAGGAGAGAGATCGAATTGAAAGAGAAACCATTTATTAGGGATGGGTATGGCTACTCAATCATTTTCATTCCCCAGAACAGTAGTAATACATAGGTTTTGGGGGGATGAACTGGTATTTTCTGATATGGGGGGTTTTGGTGGGTATAGGATGGGAGTAATACACAAAATAA